GGGGGGGGGGGAGACGGTGGAGGAATATTGAACACGTCGACTCAACAACAAGTGAAACTCCCTTTTCACCACCTTCACTTCGACCTACACTTGTAACAATATAATGAGCTCCGCGCGCTACCACTACTGCTACTCTGCTTTTGCTGATTCCGTAAATACAACTTCTACCAATGGTGGTTAAAATGTTTCCTTTCCACCGTGTCTGTGATATGCCTCGTCGCACAAGCTTTACATGTTTAAGTGTGTAGAATTATTTATTTATTTATATCAAATGGCAGGCGTTTTGATGGTTATCATTAGCCCTTTAGTTGACTTCAGGTTTCACAGAGGGGAAGGAACATCAAAGTGAAAAAGATTCGAGAGGGGGGGGAGGACAGAAGAGCATTTCAAAGACGAAGGTAGAAAAGGTAGAAAAAAGGTGAGGTGAGTACTGTGAAAGTAGTCGAATATAACATACAGTGAGGTGATGGCAGTTTGAAGTCAGAAATCAACTGCCAGTTTATAGACTTTTTGCCGTGTGAGTATACGTTGCCCAAGGTGCACCACGTGGAGGTAAGTCTATCGCACACCCCTCAGTGTGTAGAATTAATAGTTGTTTAAGTGAATTAATTCAAACAGCAAATGAGGGCTTGGAGAATGTGGTTTTTGTGGGGTGGTGGTGGGGGGGGGGGCGAATTGACCTGGAACCAATTAAATATGTATATATGCTTAACAAAAAGTTAAGTTATTTTGAAAAGGTGCATTTATTTAACAGAAATTAGAGTGAAGTCTGGATAAAAATATTGAATAGCTTTTGGAATACGTGTTTAACTGATTAATCAATGAGCTGGTATCGTGGCCATTAGGAAACAATAAGTTAATTCACACCACAGCACTCACGGTGAACAGAACTGCCAAACGTAAGAACAACGAAGAGACTCTAGTGTGACATGTCCAGTTGCGATGTTTCATTAAGTATTTAGCAACGGATGGAATCAAAGATATAGTTCATGAAAGCTGCTGCTGCAACAGCGCAGAGCTAGTGTACTCGTTGAAGGTCACGGAAGAGATAGACACCTATCCACCTAATGGATGGAATTTCCAGCCGCGCTGATTAAATCTATTTGAATCATGTGACGATAGTACAGATCAAGTTTCTTCTCAAGAGGACTCGATAATGCCTGTTTTCTACCCGCTATGTCATCTTAAAAGGTATTGACAGTTCTCTTATAGACTGCATACTACTCACTATCGAATCTTCTAGAGGCTAGAAGCAATATTTACTTTCATCAATAAACTATTCAAAATATTTATTTATTTATATAAAATGGCAGGTGTTTTGAAAGTTATCATTAGCCCTTTATTTGATTTCGGGCTTCACAGAGGGGAGAAAGAACATCAAAGTGGCAAAAAGTCGAGAGGGGGACAGAATAATGATTCACAGACGTAAAAGAGACAGACAGACAGATTGATTCGCAGGAATAGCAGATACAGGCACAAAAGTTGAGAGTAGGGTAAGGCAAGTACTCTGGAAATGGTGTAATATGACAAACAGTGGAGTCATGTTGGTTAGAAGTCAGAAGTCAACGGTTTATAGACTTTTTCTGTCGTATGAGTAATGTTTAGCCTATAATTGAGTCGTTAATTAAATCAACGATGAAATTAATTAATTAACGACTCATTTGCGTCATTTACTAATCGATTATCAAAATTCTTCCTTGTCAGCAGACAATAAATGATCCTGCCTTGCCATTCATTTAGCATGAATTGATGCGGACTTTGAAAGGAATACTTGTCAAATTAGGGGGAAATAAAGGGCGAATGATTAGGTGAGGAGAACGTGCCAGTTTGGTTAGACCGGGGGGTCGGGGAGAGGAGGGTTTGCGGTGTTGTGGGGCTATTTTCGTCCCAAATGGACGCCAGACACACGAGCACGTTCGTCCACCCATCTCCATACCTGCACACACACGAACACACACACACACACACACACACGCACACAACCCACTAGCCCCCCACACACATGCACATCTTCGCGCGACACAGCACAAAATCGCACTCGAATGATGAACAGGTTGGGTCATCCTGACCATTTCTCTTTCCTGCAGTACGTGTTCCTGTAAGATGGGAAAGTTCGAAGTTGTGTAGTTGTGAGGTGTCCCCTTTTCCTCTCTCCCTCTCTCTCTCTCCCCCCCCCTGAATTCACCATCTGTTGGTCTGAATTTATTCCAATTTGTAATTGTGTAACGTTTTTTTTTCTCCAAAAGACACCGTATTTAAGTCGAAACATGCATATAGTTCGCATATTGTTACTGCGACAAAATGTAGTATTTTGACAAATACGGAGTTAGGATTTGTGTACTAAAAGGCAACTTTTAAATATTCTAGCTTGAAATTGACAATCTTTCTTAATCTATCAGCTCGTGACGTGAAATTACCGTATCCTCCGCTTGCATACCCTTCATTGATCCTAGAAGATACTCTCAGTGTCTTCTTGGGTGAAAAATGGGCCCAATGTGGAGGACAATCGTTCGATATTTTTCATGATGAACAGAAGAACATAATCAAGGTCTCTGAGGTAGGAGAGGCGTCGATGGTCATAAACAACGGATAGTAAAGCCGAGGCATTAAATTTTTGTTGAGTTAAACTTCCATAATTTGACATGTCACCTTGACATTTTCAATCAAAGTAGCATTGCCATTTTTAACAAAAGGACCAAGTGAATAAATACGTTAATTATACTACTGTTAATTTGATTAGCGTTTATTGTGTCCCAATCACTCATCAAATTTAATTATTGCACCAAAATAAAGCGAACATTTAGCTTATAAGTGCAATAGATTTATTTTTCCCTAATTGTTTTTGTATAATAATACGCCACTTTACAGAGAATGTATTTTACAATTTCCCTCAACACTCATTGGTTCTCAACCTCGTGGCGTCCTATTGGTTTATGGTGTTAGCGCGCGGGAAGTAACCGAAATCGGGGGGGTGAATTAAGCGATAGCACGCGTGAATGAAAGGTGGTCTCTGATTGGTTCGTGAATTCAGGCATGCGCGATTAAGGTACAACGACTTTCTAACAGTGACTTTGCCTAACTCCATTGTAACAATATTCACTCAGCCCAGCCATCTCGTAACATTGTTTCGTTGTAACGAAGGAAAAACAAAAGCAACTCAACTCATCAAACTTTATTTTATTTATTCAATCTCCTACCCGAGCATTGTCCCATTGTTCTTCAACACCTCTGGGTACTAATTCTCAGCTCCTCAAAATACAATCGATCTCAATTCAAGTGATCCATGGATCGGTACGTTTCAAGTCCTTTTAATATCCCCTTTATGCCGCCCCGTTTTGCCTCGAAATAAAACCCTTCTCTCATTTTAACCCTATGATTATTTCCGCTCTTAATAAAAACAGCGTTTATCCGTTTTGAAATAGTGATCATTGTTTTAAGAGTGCTGATCTGATTGGTTGTCCAAAAAGTCGAATAGTTTTATTAATAGGGATGGGAGACCATCTGTATGAGCCTGGAGACTAGATAGTACCTTACCGTCTCCTTAAAGAGGGTCAAAATAGATGGTAAAATAGGGAGGGTGAGAGGATCTGCTCAAACTGGGAGGTGATGGAGATGGAGATGAAGGAAGGTGGGGGAGGGGAATAGAAGGCGCCAATAATTTATCTTCTCACCTCTCCCTTCCTGTCTCCCTCTTCCTCCCTAATTCGCATCCCATCTTTCGTCCATGGGATATGTCCCACTTTGCTCCCATCGCAATTTTAATACTCAAATTAAGGAATCACGATTTAAAATAGTCAGCTCAAAAAATATCGACTTATTTGGACGAATTCGATTTCCAAATTCAACCTTAACATCTCCGCATTTTGAGATGTCATTAGAAAACAGGACTCTTAACAATGACCTACACCAGAAATGTCAGCAATTCAGCAGCTTCTGATATCTCGACATTTTTCTTTGAATCTCCGCCTTCCTTAGTGAAGTGGTCTTAGTTGCTTTCATACTCCCATCGATAGGCTTTGTAATCATATGCAACATTATTATTTATTATTATTATTATTATTATTATTTATTTAATTTAGTAGAAATTTAGAAAGTGTTCCGAGAAAATTAATAGCAGAAGTTGCGGAATTATACAAAGTTTGATATTTCAGAGGTTTATTGGCAAGCAGAGGCGTCCAACAAGTTGTCATTCCCTTTCTTTAGTTCAAATACGCTGGGAAAATCTACTGTCTCAACAAGTGCAAAGAGTTTCAGAGTGCGTACACAAGGAAGCAATATTGTGAACAAAATTCTAGAGCACATTACTTGAATAAAGAGTTGAAAAGAAATCGAAGCGTTCCATTATTGAGAGTAGTGGAATACAGTGGAAGATTGCCTACCAAATATCTAGTTTTGAAATATTTCTTGAATCACACTTATTACTCTATTCACATTAGGTACTCCGAAACAACTTGTTTTATGGCTGAGAACCAGCTGTTTTAGAATTAGAAATAAAAATAACAATAAAATAAAAATAAAAAAGTAATCCTCGGGTGGTTTTTAGGGCGGCAATAGAGACTAATCCTTCACCTCGAGATTGGTTGAACCAGAGCCTCAAAGTCGAGCCAGGTTTCACGGCGACCTCGACCTCACGACGAGTCGTCTGCAGTACCGGAACCGTCAACACATCCGCCTACTTCAGTGCCACCACAACGGCTCACTTCGAAAGCACTGAGGGTAATTCAGACTACACCGCATTCACAATTCCCCGTCTTGGAGCCACGTCGACTAACCCCAATTCGACATTCCCTGTCCACCACGCTTTCGGACCCCCACCACCATCTCAAACAGGTGTTTCACCGCCCATGGTACCTACCCACCCCGTGGCACCACCTGCAGACCCCTCTGGAACTCTAACTCGAGCGCACGCAATGCATTCCCTCTTTGAAACCTACACAACATTTGAAAGTGGAACTACTCGACAACACACAAGTGTTCGCATGGACCATCACATTCTTCCAACCCACCCAGTGAAGGCTGGACGCTGTAGAAAGGACTCGGGATCTTCAACAGAGGACAATGGAAAGGAAAGTGCATCCGGTGATTTGGAAGCCGGTTCTGGTTCAGCTGTCGTTTCGAGAGCATCTTACATGTGTCGCAAGTGCAAGGCGCATGGTCAGGCGGTGCCAGTGAAGAGGCACAAACGCGCGTGCCCCTACCTCCAGTGTCGCTGTTTAAAGTGCCGATTAGTTGATCAGGGCCGCAAGGTGAGTGAAATTACATTTTGTGCACTGACAATATTTCGCGGAATTTGCGTGAAATATATTACTTTGACATGAGTGCCATTCCCGAGGGAATTTTTCGTGGACTCCTGCTCGTTTCAATATTGTATTTTTACTTAAAGCATTAGCGGGTATGATTACTTTGAGACAGGGCAACAGAGGAGCACACAAAATTATGACAACTTGAAATCTCTACGCCTCGCCCCCCCCCCCCCTCCAGTTTATTTCCACCGCTCGTGGAAATAAAGATCTCAGGTCGCAGTCTTGAATGGCACAGCCGAATAACTAGGCGATGCCTTTTATCTCAAATACCACTTCACTTTCTGATCTTGTTCAATTTTTTGCTCAAGCCTTTAGATGAGTTCGAACTTCCCAGGTTTCAAAGACTTAGGGAAAAAGTTGCAATTCAGAAAAGTTTGAATAAATCACAGGTATTGAGATAAAATGCACAAACAAGGCAAATTACCACTTGTTGGCCAATTAACTATTTAACAGCTAGACTCAAATTTTCATCAAAAATGCTTTTATTTAATAAAAAATTGGATGCAATAATTAATTTCATAATTTTAATAAATTAAATAAAATAGTCGAAAAATTTATCTTGAGCGGCTACTACAAAATTTACCATTATTAACAGATTGAAAATTTATTGAATTTATTCGAAAAAATAATAATTAATAATGTAATTGAATTGCAATTTAAGCATTCTTTCCTTGAAATTGTAAAATTCATAAATCGTAATTTTTCGTAAGTTTAGTTCGTTAAGAATACAAAAAAATATTCCATTAACTGTAGGCAAGATAATGTTATAAGCAAATTAAGTTACAGGTTAACTTCCACCTAATCAGAATTTCGCATTTCATTAGGTGGTAGCCAGGCAAATCGCCCTCTATCGAGACCAGAAAGGTCACTCTGGAAACTTCGGCGGCAGCAGCAGCAACTCACGAGGCAATCCAAGGCACTCTCGAGACGACAACGCCTCTTATTCACGTCTCACAGGTCTTCGTTCGAACCCCCTTCTCCAGTTACCCTTTCCCCGCGAACTTCGATTGGACGAAAATCGAATTCTACCATCTCTGATGAATAGCCCGAGTGCCAAAGTTGGCCCGAATTCAGCTCCCCTTATTCCTGGGAGGAGTGTTGTCGGTCCACATTGTCGAAGATGCCGGAATCATAATGTTGCCGTGACCTGGAAGGGACATAAGAAATCCTGTCCATACAGAAATTGTCCGTGTGATCCATGCAGACTCATAAACGTCCGCAAGGACACAGAAAAGACCTTGAGAGATATGGTAAGCGACTTCATTATTTATTCTCCATGGGTAATTTTTAATTTATTGTCATTATTAGAATATCAATAACCTCCATCTTTTCCTCTTGGAAAGCTGGTGACATCAGTGAATAACGAAGTTTAATAATGATAGGGGCGACTTTAAGACCCACTTTGTACTTTTCATTTATCTCAAAAGGCAGGCGTTTTGATAGTTATCATGAGCCCTTTAGCTGACTTTGGGCTTCAACTAGAGAGGAGGAGGAACATCAAAGTGAGAAGAAATGGAGAGGGGGAACAGGAGAGTGATCCACAGATGTAAAAGAGACAGACAGTCACAAAGGTAGAGAAAAGGTGAGTTGAGTACTGTGAAAGGGGTCGAGTATGGCAAACAGTCGGGTCATAGTAGTTTGAAGTCAGAAGTCAACTGCCCGTTAATAGACTTTTTTTTGCCGCATGAGTAAACGTTGCCCAGGGTGCACCACGTGGAGAGGTGAGTCTATCTAGTTTGTATAATATTAACTTGGCTTGAATTTAATTTATTCTACTTATAACAAGCAGCTGCGCCACTCCATTTAATTGTCAACTTTTCAAATTTAAAAAAATTGAGAAATGAATATTTTATTATCAGCATGGAACGCCATGGATGACATCCACTTGGAAACGGTGAGATAGCTAATGGAGATGCGTTTTCGATTTGTTTGTTGTCGGAAACGCTAAAGAGATTTAGCTGATAAGTGAAGTTGAGTCGTATTAAACGTGTAGGTATTTAATGAACATTAACAGACGTTTTCTCGCTAAAATTGAAGGGCTTTCACCGACAAATCGGCACACTACACAGTTCTGAAGTCACATCTTGAATGTTGGCGCTCAGCATTACTTAATTTAGGTTCAAAATTTTCCATCTACGTGTATGCAAAGGGGAGATATAATTTGAATCTTAGGCAACTTGTGATGAAAACGTAAAGCTACGGTTTTTTTCTTAAGTGAACAATTATTGATTAATTGTCCCACCCCAACAATACAAAAGGTATGCACCACAGGCCACTTTTGAATGCATCTAGCAGCCTTGAGGCGTAATGGCTGGAAAAGTTGGCGATACATGACACAAGTGAGTTAATAGTTAAGAGGAGAAGTGAAGGTGTGGAGAGTGGAATCTATAGATCCGTTGCCACGTGCCGACACACTCATTCTATAGGAAGCAGGAGTTTAAGCTACTTCATAAGCCGTAAGGACTTCGCTGGATTTTGTGGTCCACATTTTCCTCAGAATGTTACAACACCGACTTAAGAAGCTAGAATAGAGAGTGGTGTGGAGTGGGAGGGTGGGGGGTGGTGAAGGGGGAGGGTAGTTAATTATAATTGCTACATTTCTCCCGGCTAAAATCCCTCTAAAATCTCTAAAGTGTACTTTCACCCCCCCCCCCCCAATTTCCAGGCTGGAATTGAGGAGAAATCAGTGTTGCCCACTGCTCTACTCTCCGAAGAATCTCCAACCACAGCAGCCAGTTCAGCCGCCTCCACAGGAATGCCAAACTTCTTCCCCTACCTCACACCGGTGAACAACGCGACACAAGCAACAGAAGTGGAAGAAGCCTCAGCAAATAACCCCGAACAACCATCCTGGCATGAAACGCCATTTATACATCGTCCTCCACGAAGAACAAGATCACTTCAAGACCTAAACGCTCAGATATCCGTTTCAGAACCCCAAATGAATGATCAAGGAGGTAATCATACGAATACTACCACTAATGAACAAACTCGTGAAAGTCCTCTTGAGGCTTCTAGAAACCCAGTTCCGTCTGCTAACAGCAGTAACAGTGGGAGCACAGCTAACACCTCCCACTCAGCAAATAATACAAGTAATAGTACTAATGTCAATAACAGTAGTACATTTGAGCAGTGCCACAGAAACGCAAATTATGATGTATATTATGAGGAGAAGGCACCGAGACCAGTTTTACCCTTCTGGCAGAGTTTCGGTCATTTTGAGGAGAAGCCCTCTGTCCCAGGTCAAGGATACATTGGTGGTTACTATGGCCTTGAAAACGGGCGTGTATTCCATGGCAACAGTCAGGGCCATCATCATATGTACAGCCCTGAGAGGGTGTCCGCCGTGGCCGCAGCGGCTGCAGCAGCAGCGGCGATGGTAGCCATGACTCCACCAATCAGTGGAAATTATCAACAACCGTGCTATCCACATCAAAGTAGATCAGGTGGACTCTGTCATCCACAGCACTCAGATCACCTGGGATACACCCCAGCAGATGAGTTCAACTCCGCTGGAATGTATCAAAATCGTTTTCTCACTGATCGAAGTCGTGGCGATGAATACGTCGGAAGCACCAATACAGGAAATAACGGAAGTTGGGGAACGTACAGATACCCATATATGATGAGAGGTCTGCCGTTTCACCCCGGAGATCCGGGTGATTCTGAATTTGGATTTACAGGATCTCAAAGGCATGGCAAAATAGGAATGACAAAGATTGTGGACGAATCTATTTACTCAAGACCGAATGCTGCTCAAGTTTGGAGAAGTCAACTTCATCAGCTAAGTATTTCCCAACTAAGACCAATGGAGTCGGATGAGATGAAAACTTTCCAGCACATTGAGTGTGAAAGCAAAATAAATGATGTGAAACGAAGTGCAACCGACGAAGGTACGTTGCATTTACTAGTCACTTAAGATTAGCACAAAAAATAGAAATAAAATAAATACGATTCGAATTTGTTTTTTTATTAGGGTCAAGGGTTCAAGCGTCTAACGCTAGTTTAGGAATTAGGGGTGAAATTGAAAGCGGTCAGAGATCAACTGGAGGGTTTGGAGAAGAATTTCCATCCTCCAATGGAAGTCGACCACTTCCTGCTCAACAAACTTCCCAACAAAATCCCACCCAGCAATCGTCTGGAGATATGATCTTTGAAGCAGATCCAAGATCCACTTCAGAAAGTCAAGTGAGTGCGCAGTATCGTCAGTACAATACTACAGGTGGTGGTAACAACAGCTCACCCTTCGCGCAGATCGATGAAGGACAACCACCACCACACCCCTTCCCCTCGACTGTCGGCGCGGAGACATGAGTGACGTCTACATCCCCGTCGCGTCTGCACTAGCCAATCAGAAATCAGCGCTTACAAGATTTGCTCCCCCCACTGCTCGGAGTGTTGTGGACGTGTCGATTGTTTGTGCTCGCGCTCAGCGAATGCGGCTTGTGGATTGACAGTAAATTTATAGTTGTACAGATTTTGCATTAACATATCACCGCAGACCATCGAGATATTTTACCTTTTTTGTAAAAAATACAATGAATTTCTTTGAAACGGTTTCTATGCTTTTAGTAAACTGTGGTGCTACCTAACTCAGCTTTTACATTCACAAAATTATATTTAGAATTTAATGAAAAAACTTGAATAACTTAAATACATAAGAGTCGGTAATCCATATAATGATATTATACCAAACCGGAATCGTTGCCGATGGGAGGTTATTTAAACGATAACACAGTTCAAATCAACCAATTGCATGACCACTTTTCCAGAGGTATTTGTTCATCAGCTCCTTAACTCATTATATTTACTTATTTTAGAAGTAAACAAAGAGATTCGTTTTCCCACCAGACCGAGAAGGAGGGGTAGGGGGTTCGGAATGAATATGCAATATTTGGCACAATGATCACACCTTCAACTGGATAAGATTTGGAAGTATTCGATAGTTAGACATCTGATTTCGTGAACTTTTAGGTCCAGTAATTACTCTAAAAGTATGTCAAAATCGGCTACTTCTATGTGTACTTTAGTTATTGATTTATAGAAAGGCAATTAGTTGGAATTCAATAATCAATTCTATATTTAATTTCGGTTACCATGATTTAAATCCCTGCAATTTTCTTCCAGTCCAAAACTTTCACCGCCATCACATTTCTCTCCGTTGTGGTGGGAAGAGTACTCAAAGCGATGAATTCCTATTTAAGAAGAGGTGAAAATGAGACTGCGCTTCAACGGGGACCTAAGAGAAGGAGACTTCGAGGAAAGCGTCGATTGTACTTGGCAGTAGCTTTATGCCTGATTGAAAGCATTGTTCTTGGTGGTCATACAGATAATTTATTTATATCAAATGGCAGGCGCTTTGGTAGTCATCATTAGGCCTTTAGTTGACTTCAGGCTTCACAGAGGGGAAGGAACATCAAAGTGAAAAAAGTCGAGAGGGAGGGGGGGGGGGAACAGAAGAGTGTTTCAAAGATGTAAAAGAGACAGACATAAGGGTAGAGAAAAAGGTGAGGTGAGTACTGTGAAAGTAGTCGAATATAACATAGAGTGGGGTGATGGTAGTTTGATGTCATAAGTCAACTGCCGATTAATAGACTTTTTTGCCATGTAAATATACATTGCCCAGGGAGCACCACGTGGAGGTAAGTCAATCCCACACCCAGCCACACAGATAATGATCTGGATGGCCCAAGAGCCAAGATGCGAAAGATTTATTGAAAGACTGAATGCTTTGCCTCATATAAAATTACAAGTAGTGGCTTTCTCATGTACTCTTCCTTGAGCTGAAGCTATCTTTCCAAGAGTCTAGGACCTAGAGTCTATCAGTTTAGAAGCAGTAATGGGTGGGGAGTTTCTGGATGTGACTAATCTGTGGGGTAAAAATATGGATTTCCGGTGAATTCAGTTATCGTTTTAAAAAATTCGAGTTCTGAGCAGATTTCGTGGAACGAAAGTTTTAATGTAAGATGGAGAAAGTTGGCTGAACCTCCGATTCCAGGGCCATTAATTTGGACTTAGTTAAGGTAGCTCATAGAAGATGTGGATGAGCAATGAGGGAAAGCTCAAAGCATATAAGTTAAATACAATTAGTCAAAGATCTGCATTTCAACTGGATTTATTGATTTATTGAATAATCCTAACGTTCTTTTCTCTCTTGGTCCGCAAAAAATTGGAATGACACGACTCTTCCCTTCGGAGTGTGTTGAGTACAAAATGATTAATTTTTCGAAAGATAGAAGGCATAAAATACTTGAAAGGGATTGGGGAGGAAGGGACGGGAAAAGAGGGGGTCGTTGTTTTGATGGGGAGACATAAATGACAAGTGCCGGACATGGGAAGTCATAAAACTGCCACGTTACAAAGCACGCGCGTCCCCTTTTGTTCCGTCAGTGATCGCAACACATGGAAACGACCTGAAAAGTGATGAGCTATAAATCCAGTTTTCAACCCTTAAATGAGCGTCAGTATAAAATATTAAATAAAATCCCGAATTTTAGAAAGTAAATTAATTCACAATTACCTGGGGAGCACTTTTGTGGGCTTGTTGATAAAAGGGAAGAGAAAATTTTCATAAACACGTCTTTATTCGAATTTGAGGGTTGGTTAACTTTGATTCGACAGCTATGCGGGATCACGGCGCTGTGAGTCTGACACCACAGGAGTTCCGTCATTGGCAGAGCTTTCCACTTCATAAGAGGTGGATGAAGGTATTTATTTATATCTAATGGCAGGCTTTTTGATAGTTGTCATTAGCCTTTTAACTGACTTCGGGCTTCAACTAGAGAGGAGAGGGAACATCAAGGTAACAAAAAGTGGAGAAGAGGAACAGAAGGGGGATTCACAGAGGTAAAAGAGACAGACAG